TTACATTTCTCGATTTTTACATTTTATTTTTCGTCTTTTCAGGTGTTAAATTTCCAATTTTTTGATTTTTTATTTTGGATGTTTCTATTTTTCGAAGAAACACATCGAAAATAAGGAACAACATGAAAAAACTCCTGCTTTACAATTTTTCAAAACTTCAGTTTGAATAAACTTGTTCTTTTTGTCCAAAATTTAAAAATTCAAAAACGAGAATTTGATTATTTAAAGGCTAAAATTTGAAAAGACTAAAAATTGAAAACTAGAAAAACTGTAAGTCAAAAAATTAACATATCTACATACAAACTAAAAAATTGAAAAACCGGAAACTTAAAAAATCGAATTTGAAAAATGGAAAAATCAAAAACCTGAACAATCAAAAAGAAGAAATCAAAACAAAACAAACAAAATACAGAAAAATCGAAAAATTGATTAATCGAATAATTCTAAATCGAAAAAGTTAAAAATCTAAGTAACATAAAAATTCAAAAATTGAAGGGTTGATAAATAGAAAGTTGAAAAATTTAAAACAAAATCTGAAAATCGGAAATTTAAAAAATTGAAACATCCAAGAAACAGAAAATTGCAGATCGAAAGACTGAAGGAACCAAAATTTGCAAGATCGGAAATCTAATAATTCGGAAAATTGAAAACTAGAAAACTTGAAAACGAAAAATTGTAAAATCCAAAAACTGTAAAATCGTGAAAATTTCACTTTTAATAAATTTGTTCTTTTTGAATTATTTAAATTAAAAATTAGAATCCGGGAAAATGAAACATTAAAAAATTGAGAACTTGAAAAATGTAAAACCTAAATTAAAAACTGAAATCTCGATTAATTATTGAAATAAAGAGACATTTAAATACATATCTACAAATTGAAAAATTGAAGAATCTAAAAGTTGAAACGACGAAAAATTGAAAATTTAGAAAACACCAAAAATTGAAAAATCGAAAAATAACAAAGTCGAGCAATCAAAAATTTGAAAAATCCGGAAATTGAAGCATCGACAAATCCCAAAACTGAAATGTCGAAAAATTTAAAATCGAGAACTTGAAAAATCAACCCTGAAAAATCGGAAAGAAGAAATCGAAACTTGAAAAACGAAAAATGAAAAAAACAAAATATCGAAAAATCGAAAAACTTAAATTGGAGAATAGAGGAATCGAAAAATAAAAAATCGAGAAATCTAAATTTTTTAAATTGTGAAATTCAAGAACCGAAAAACTAAAAAATTCCAAAACTGAAATGTCGAAAAATTGAGAATCGAGAATTTGAAAAATTGAAAAATCGAAAAGTAGAAATCGAAACCTGAAAATCGAAAATTGAGAAAAACAAAATATTGAAAAATCCAAAAATTTAAAGGCTGAAAATTGTCGAAAAATTCAAAAATTGTTTAACTGAGAAATCTAAAAATCCAAAATTTAAATAAATCAAAAATTAAAAAATTGAAAAATCGAAAAACTTAAATGGAGAATAGAGAAATCGAAAATAAAAAATCGAGAAATCGAAATTTTTATTTAAAAATTTTGAAATTGAAGAACCGAAAAATTGAAAAATTCCAAAGCTGAAATGTCGAAAATTGAGTATACGAAAAATTGAACATCCAGAATTTGAAAAATTGAAAAATCAAAAACCTGAAAAATCGAAAAGAAGAAATCAAAACCTGAATATCGAAAAAATGAGAAAAACAAAATATCGAAAAATCGAAAAATTTAAAATCCCAAAGCTAAAGTATCGAAAAATTGCAAGTCAAAAATATGGAAGACCGAAAAATTACAAAATAAAAAAAAACTCAAAAAATTGTAAAATTGAAAAATTAAAAACTGAAAACTGGAAGACCTACAATCGGAAAACTGTGAAGTCGAAAAATTGAAGAAACAAAAATTCACAAATGAAAAATATGAAAAGCGGAATATTAAAAATCGAGAAACTAGAAAATCCAAAAGCTGAAATGTCGAAAAATTGAGTTATTGAAAACTTGAAAATCGAAAATTTGAGAAATTGAAAAATCAAAAACCTGGAAAATCGAAAAGAAGAAATCAAACCCTGAAAATCGAAAAGTGAGAAAAACAAAATATCGAATAATTTTAAAACTGAAAAGTGTCAAAAAATACCAAAATTGATTAATTGAGAAACAGAAAAACCGAAAATTTAGAAAAGCCAAAAATTAAAAAACTGAAAAATCGAAAAACTTATATTGGAGAATAGAGAAATCGAAAAATAAAAATCGAGAAATCGAAATTTTTGACAATTGCAAAATTGAAGAACCGAAAAATTGAAAATCGAGAATTTGAAAAATCAAAAACCTGAAAAATCTAAAAGAAGAAATCAAAACCTGAAAATCGAAAAAATGAGAAAAACAAAATATCGAAAAATCGACAAATTTAAAATCCCAAAGCTGAAGTATCAAAAATTGAAAATCGAGAAATTAAAAAAAAAACGGGAGATCGAAATTTGAAAAATCGAGAAATTAAAGAATCGAAAAATTAAAATATTAAAAAACTGAAAAATCAGAAGCCTGAAAAATCGAAAAATTGAAAAATTGAAAACCTCAAAACGAAATATCGAGAAATGGGAAAATCAAAATATCGAAAAATTTTAAAGTTGAAAAATCGAACAAGGGAAAAATCGATTATCTGAAATATCGAAAATTTAGGAACGCCAAAAACTGAAAAATTGAAAAATGAAAAACTCTAGAATCGAAAAATTGTAAAACTGAAATATCGGAAAGTAAAGAAATCCAAAAGTATCCAGAAATCGAAAATTTTAAAAATCGGAAAAGTGAAGAATCGAGAAATTCGAAAATACCGAAACTGAAATCTCGAAAAATTGAAAATAGAGAATTCGAAAAATTGAAAACCTGAATAATTGAAACAATTAAAACTTGAAAATCGTAAAATGAGAAAAACAAAATCTCGAAAAATCGAAAAATTTAAAAGCTGAAAAGTTTGAGAAAAATTCAGAAAAGAGAAGAAATTTAAAACCTCAAAAACGAAAAATCGAGAAATCGAAAAGCCGAGAAATCGAGAAATGGGAAAATCAAAATATCGAAAAATCGAAAAATTGGGAAATCGAAAATTTAGAAACGCCAAAATTGAAAAATTGAAGAATGAAAAACTCAAGAATCGAAAAATTGAAAAACTGAAACATCGGAAAGTAGAGAAATCCAAAAGAACGAGAAATCGAAAATTTTAAAAATGGGGAAAGTGAAGAATCAAAAAAGTCAAAAATACCGAAACTGAAATATAGAAAAATTGAAAAAATCAAAACCTGAAAATCGAAATATGAGAAAAACAAAATCTCCAAAAATCGAAAAATTTAATAGCCAAAAATTAAAAAATTGAAAAACCGAAAAATTTAAATATTGGGAAATAGAGAAATCGAAATATAAAAAAATCGACACATAGAAAATTTTAAAAATTGGGAACTTGAAGAATCGAAAAATTGAAAGATAAAAAAATCGAGAGATCGCAAAATCCCATAATTGAAATATTGAAAAAGAAAAAAATCAGAAGCCTGAAAAATCGAAAAATTGAAGAATTGAAAACCTCAAAAACGCAAAAATCGAGAAATCGAAGAGTCTAAAAACTGAAACATCGAAAAACCGAGAAATCGAAAAATGAGAAAATCAAAATATCGAAAAATCGAAAAATTTTAAAGTTGAAAAGTCGAACAGTGGAGAAATCGGAAATTTAGAAACAACAAAAATTGAAAAATCGTAAAACAGAAATATCGGAAAGGAGAGAGTAGTGAAAATGTATCGAAAAATTGCAAATCAAAAATCTGGGGGACCGAAAAATTACAAAATCAAAAAATAAAAAATTCGAAAAATTGTAAATTTGAAAACTAGAAAACCTAAAATCGGAAAACTATAAAGTAGAAAAATTGAAGAAACAAAAATTCACAACTGGAAAATATGAAAATCGGAATTTTAAAAATTGTGAAACTGGAAAATCCAAAAACTGAAGAAACAATCTAGAAATTGACTGTAAAATCGAAAAATTGTAAATTAAAAAAATGCAAAATAAAAATCGAAAAACTGAGAAATCATAAAATCAAAAAGTTGTGTAATTTTTAAAAATTTGAAAATGGGTGCTATTAAAACATCCTCAGTCAACGCGATGTAAAAAAACTAAAAACGACAAAATCGTAAAATTGAAAAATTCAGAAGTTCAAAAATCAAAAATTCAAAAAGCCAAAAGATGATAAATACAAAAAACTGCAAATCGAAAAATTGAAAAACGACAAATTGAAAAATCAAAAATAAAAAAAAAATAACCGTGTTTTGGCTTGCTTAAAGTTTCTAAAATTCCATTGTTTCCCAAAAAATTTTTACATGAACTCCTAAAAACGACAATATATTTAATTTTTTCGGTAATCAGATATTTGAGCATCTTGTGCTTCACCTCATCAACTTCTCAACTCATGAGGCGCCCCTGCTTTTAAATAAAAATATGCCCGAACATGCACAGTGTATTGATCGCTACAACAATTTTTGCACTATTTATTTCTATTCTGAAGCCAGCCGTCACCTGAAACTCACACACACTAGTGATAAATTATAATAAAAGATAAAAATTCATAAAAGCTTTATATACGACAATAAAAAGAGATGAAAACAGCCTTATTTTACGCTAGGAAGACTGGCATTTCCGTACATGGCGACGCTATGAGGTTTTAATGAAACGACCTTGTCTTAGGTTGATAAATAAACAACACAATTTCACATTTTTCTCAAAATATGTAGACGTGCTAAAATGGTCAAATAGTGATGGAATCGAACATAAAAAAATTAGTCGAAAACTATATTTAAGGTGGAAACTCAACACGGATTCATACACCATTAGTACAAGAATTACTGTTGCAAATTTTTGAGATCACGTCATCAAACTGTTGGTGGGGACGATTAGCCAAATTTTGGTTAAGGTTTTACCATTATAATAAAATCGGTGACAGACAGACGGAAACGGGGATAGTGACGCTTCAATTGTGTACTTACCAAACGCTTGGCACTGCAAGATTTTCGTCGTTCCTAACCTAATAATACTACTGCTAGCTGACGATGTCGTGAACCTTGGAGCTTGCAATGAATTTTCTGCAACAAAAAAATACCTGTTTATAGTTGATTGATCGACTTGTTTGAACTTGTTAGTAATGGCTGAAATGCGACGTAATAACCTGTCTTCCGCGTTGTATTAGAAAAATTGCTTTCTTTGTACTGCTAACGTTGGTTTCCTGACAAAACCCAAGAAAAATAGCTTTAAACTTTGTGTATTAATCCGAGCGTATGAAAAGAAATGCTCAATCTTTCGTATTTCACCGAAGCACCAGAAGACATTTATTAACAGAAAAATGAGAAATCAGGTGGTGTTCCCGAGCAACAAAACGTCGCGATCGATTATTGCAATAATTCCCTGCAAGATATAATTTTTCCCGACACACTGGCAATTCCACCGAGGGAGAATCTTCGAAAACCCATTTTTCCTTTTCTCTTTATTCTTGACAAATTGCATGGAATTTGATTTTTAGAACGCCAAACTATTTTCCGCCCAAAATAAATATTTTATTAGAATTTTTTATGGAGGGATGAAAACCACCGCGTCGAAAGGTGCGACAACATAAAAACCTATAATAGTTTTCTGTCTTTTTATAAATTTTATGAGTTTTCGAACGATAAAGCTTTCCTTTTGTGTTATACACGCCCGACATTGAGAGGTCTTTCGCTGTAATTGTGTCACGGCATCATAAAACTTACACATTTCAAATTTGCATATGTTATACTTGTGACATGTTAAAACGCAGTTGTAAAAGCTTAGAGTTCAAATTGGGAATGCAGAATTACAGGACGGCGAAAAGCTTTACGTCAAAATATTTCCGCATGTATTTTATCATAAACCCGAAATGGCAGTCGCCGAAATTCGGCATAAAACAGTAATATTTCCTAATTTTAAGAATTAATTTCGCAGTTTTAATGCGCGACGATAAATTATAACAATAAAATGTTGCGTTTTGATTAAAAAATGATCATAAAACGGATCTGAAAGTTAAAGTAGGTTCACACCGGTGATGGATTACGCCTGAGCAAAAATCATACAACTAAAACTTGTTGTCTAAAGTACTAACAAATGTAATTGCTACTTAAATATTTGATAACCTAGATGAGGGGTTCACGAGCAATAAAAATATTTTTCCTACGGGTCACTTACGAGATTTCTTTAAATATGTATGATACAAAAAATGTTTATATCATGGCAATATTGAATGATAAATCCAATGCGTAATCGTTTGACTGGTGATAAATTAAGATAATCTACATGTTTACGGCGGTCGTTTATGGTAAATTGCTGTGTTTGTGGCTAATATCCCGTTCGAAAATAGTTATACAAAAACGCGCTACTTAAGTTAAATTGAATGATTCATGTTTGGGCACAAATACAACTATAAACACAATTTAATCCACCGATAATTGTGATTCGAATTTATTACTCCGATATATATTTTTTCCAAACGCGGTTTGTACACAATGGGGTTCAACCGATCAAAAAAGTGTACAATTTGCATAGTAAAACTAGCCATAAAATTCAAATGGACCATTTAATCACACAATCGGATAATGGGTCCGGGTTTCGTTTAAACATACCGTGATGAAGTGTTTTAATTTGTACATAATCAGAGACGCAATTCCGTTTGATATAAAACTCTATTCAAACGATTTTTTTCGTTTATTTAACAAAGCTGTTCGAACAAATTCCACTGAAACTGAACACGCGAAACCTTTTCGAATTTATTGTGCGAAAAAACGGTGAATTTAAATTTTTTCTATTAATCGGGCGAAAATTAAAAATTTTTATTCTGTGTAGTATTAAATAGTGCACAATCACACAAATTATGCTCGTGAGCGTGAAATTTCCGATCCAGTACGATTCTAATTTTACTTTTGGCTTTATCCTTGTTTTTGGACTCAATGGCTCGAATGTGGCAGCCGTTACATTTCATTGAACTTGCAGCATTGTATGTAACGCCCCAACTGTATACACCTGTGCAAGTTTGTGTGTCTTTTAGCACAATGCTGGCCTATCCTCTATGACAACCTGTATCTATTGTTAATTATGCGCCGTTCACAATAGATACCCTGATGAATAATGATCCCGTGTCAAATTTTTACTGGGACAGTTGGTCGAATACATCTGGCGAGAATTTTGGGTTTGATTTTGATTTTTAGTTTTCGTGGTATTTGCCCATTGTTATTGGAGCTTGAATACGGACAGGTGGCTCACTAATTTAACATAATCGATCAATAAAGTGTCAAGGTCGTACGATACGCCTTATCAATCCCGCTGCGAATGCACGTACGAATAGAATCGTAAATGTTTAATTCCAATTAAGGTGCAGATTCATTTTAGTATTGTTTGAAAACACCATTAAGCCTGCAAAATTATCTTGACAACCGCCTTTGTTTATACCGGCTTTCCTCCCTAATTTTACGAATTTATGGGCCAAAGATGTAAACACTGCAACTAAGTTTGGAAGTAGTGGAAATACGTACCTCCGCGACAAAAGTGTGATATTACACACAGCTGCATTTCCGGGATTCCTCGAGCTTTTATTCCCATTGTTGGGAGTCGGGAACTTACTTCAAAGGACACAATTATTTTACGTCGCTTCGTGCCAAGTCGTAGGGCAACTTTTAGCAACGACTTCGTGCAAAATTCGCTTAATTTCAAAAAACTTGTGTGAATATTAAATTACAGTGTACAGTTCAATTTCGTGAAATAGCGGTCTAGGAGCAGCGACTTCCACTCCCTATAAATAAGCTGCTTGCCAACATATGTGGGTAATCATGCGTACGAAAAAACGTTAAAGATCTACTCACTGTTAGAGTGCAATGGATGCGATTCAGATAGTCTGCGGAATGATAAAAGGAAGGGATAAATTGGGCGTTTCAAGAGGGAATTGAAGAGATTATTCATCAGGTAGATAAACGCCCGTAATCTCAGATAAGCACACACTGTAGCCGACGACGTTTTTAAATAACAGGCGCTTCAATTAACGTCAAAGATAAAAAGATTGATTTTTATTATGATCACATTTTCTCAGAGCTTTCTGGTGGGGGCAGCCGCAGGTCGGAATAAATAGCAAACTAAAAAACACTTTCTGTATTAATTGTAGCTAAATACCATTTATAATCCCCGAAACATTGCCGAAAAAAATGATAAGCGGATTTCGTTCTCGATTCCTTTTATACATTAAGCGAAATACACTTACTCAAAAACAAATACACGTATTAACTGGTAGGTTTAATTTCAACAGAATTTCGTGCTTTAGGGTCTGTATTATTCAATCCCTAAATTTTATTTCTTTCTCCGCGAGCACTCATTTCATATCTTTTAAACATTCGACTTAGTATGAAACAAAATAAATTATTCCCGTTTTGCTTATGTCTTATTTCATTAGCCATTCGTTTGTGATATTCGGGTACGAAATCTCCCTAGGCTTGGTTAACTTAGTCAAGTTAAAATCAATAATCACTAAAAAAAAAAAAAAAAACTACGAATGTATCGTACGTCGAGGGCTAGAATTATTCGGTATTTAAAACAGTTTTAATTGTCTTTTTTAAGAACTGGCTTATTTTTAATTATAAACGTGTGATTAGATACATCTGCTCGGATGAATATATGAAGTGGGATTTATACACTTGCTGTTGACGTTGAAGTAACTTTGATGGTTTTTTATCGTATTTAATAAAAAGGGGTTGTGGAATAAAAAACATGTTTTAAGTTTCTTGCTGTCGAAATAAGTCTGCACATATTAAGAAAAAAAAAAAGGAAAAATGTAGCCCCGCCCACCCACCCTATCCCGTTTGTGATGATTTTTTTATTCGTCGTGAGCCAGGAAGGCGGAGTTTAACTGCAAAATGTTTATATTTTGTCTTTCTGTTTTAATATGTGTGGAGTTCTTTTCACGACAAAAAACTTAAAAATATGTTTAACATAGAAAATTTGCATGAAGAAATATCGATTTTTTCCTTACAAAAATTTACCATTTTGACCGTGTATAAAGAGAATTTGAAAAATTGAAAAGTCAAAACCCCGAAAAATCGAAAAATGAGAAAAACAAAATAAATATCGACAAATCGAAATTTTTAAAATTGTGAAATTGAAGAACCGAAGAATTGAAAAATTCCAAAGCTGAAATGTCGAAAATTTGAGTAATCGAAAAATTGAAAATCGAGAATTTGAAAAATTGAAACATCAAAAACCTGAAATATCGAAAAGAAGAAATCAAAACTTGAAAATAGAAAAATGAGAAAAACAAAATATCAAAAACAAAAAACTGATTAATTGAAAAATAGAAAAATCAAAAATTTAGAAAAATCGAAGATTTACAAAAGCCAAAAATTAAAAAATTGAAAAATCAAAAAACTTAAATTGGAAAACAGGGAAATCGAAAAATAAAAAATCGAGAAATCGAAATTTTTAAAATTGTGAAATTGAAGAACCGAAAAATTGAAAAATTCCAAAGCTCAAATGTCGAAAATTTGAGTAATCGAAAGATTGAAAATCGAGAATTTGAAAAATTGAAACATCAAAAACCTGAAAAATCGAAAAGAAGAAATCAAAACTTGAAAATAGAAAAATGAGAAAAACAAAATATCAAAAACAAAAAACTGATTAATTGAAAAATAGAAAAATCAAAAATTTAGAAAAGCCAAAAATTAAAAAATCAAAAAACTTAAATCGGAAAACAGAGAAATCGAAAAATACAAACTCGAGAAATCGAAATTCTTAAAAATTATGAAATTGAAGAACCGAAAAATTGAAAAATTCCAAAGCTGAAGTATCGAAAAATTGCAACTCAAAAATTTGGGAGACTGAAAAATTACAAAATCATAAAATAAAAAATTTCAAAAATTGTAAAATTGAAAAATTAAAAACTGGAAACTAGAAAACCTAAAACCGAAAAACTTAAAAGTCCAAAAATTGAAGAAACAAAAATTCACAAATGGAAAATATGAGAAACGGAACATTAAAAATCAAGAAACTGGAAAATACATAAACTGAAATGTCGAAAAACTGAGTAATCCAAAACTTGAAA